AGACTGCCAAATCATTGAAAATTATCATAAACAAGACCTTAATAACTGACAGAATTATTTTAATATATATTTATATACTTGACATGTCTATAGATATAATACAGTAATAAGACTTCAATAGAAATTCGCTGTATCAAATATACCAAAAGGTAAATAAAGCAAATTAATTTCATTATTCCTTAAAAATAAAACAATAATACCAAAAAACATTTTGCTTATCAGATTGATCTGTGCATAAATTATTATTAATACATATCAAATGTATTAAAATGGAAATCATATTTGCAGTGCACCAAACAGATTATTATAATATAATATAGAAATCCTACATGATAATACTGTAATAATAAATGTATTAGCCAATTTCCAGTAGGAGATATTTGGCACCAATTTAAGGAAGTTGGTAGTCAGACTTCAAATGTGAATTAAAATGTATAGTATTAAAAATATAAGCCATGAAATAATTCCTATCCTAAACTTTGAAAATGATATATCACAATTATTTTGTTCTCTCTCAATCCAGGAATTTGAGCTGTTCATTCAAAAATTTGGTGCAGTACTAGAGTTGACAAGCCTACTGTCAGAATGTTTTTGCAGCCCAAAGAGATGAACAAAATCCACTGGCATCTACTGAAAAAATATTCTGTGCAGGAATGTTTCTATGTTCAACAAACATTCTATTGACTTTCTGGATAATTATACATCAGTTGTATTCAGTTGCTTCCTTTATGAGTCACTCTGCCCAAATATTATTCAAATAGTATGTGATGACCATCTACAATTTGTTAAACAAAAAGCAAATACCTGATGTAATAAATCTATTGTAAAATCATGAATGTATACTGGAAAGGATGGTTTTTATGAATTTAGTTCAAATCTCAAATGAGAGATAATTACAAGATTTAAATATTTTGTATAGAGTTGATCTTTTACTAATAAATGGTCAGAAGGTATTTTATTTGGGCATTGTTTTTTCCTGTATGTATCAGTATATTATCTATGGAAATAAATTTATTTAATGTTTAATTTAAACTTCCATCATTCGCTAGCAACAAAATACTTTTCCACTTGCAGAATTAGGACGTAAATGTTACATAAAGTTTCACTCTAGAATTTGAAAAAATTAAATATATCATCATGTACAATACAGTATGATCATAGACAGCTAATTATTATTATTATTAATTATTATTATTATTATTATTTTTCTTGGAGAGCCTAAATTGAAGATAATTATTCCTGAACTTCATAATTACAATTTACATTGTGTGCTAATAATCAGATTCACTAGCACAGGGATCTTGGTCCCATATCTGCCCTAAATATTATTTTTTTAATAAAATGAAAAACAAACAAAAACATACACTGCATTTTGGAAGAATAACCAACTGGTGTTTTTCTAAAGTAAAAAATACCCTACCTAAATAAAAAATAGTAATTAATAATTCTCTCTAGCTAGGCCTAAGTTTTGATAAATAATAAGACAGTAACAGTGTAGACCTAAGTGTACCTACAGACAGAGTAAGCTGAAACTATAGGGCCTAGCTAGTTCAGGAAATATTCCCCTCAATAATTATTATATAAGACAGTATGGGGTAGGCTACCTACAGAGTAGGCTAACAATAGCTATTGTTACTGACTGGCCTAGCCGGTGTAGAGTCGTTTCGGCCCAGAGTCGATTCGGCCTGGGTCGATTCGGCCCTGGGTCGTTTCGGCCCGGGTCGTTTCGGCCCTGAGTTGGTATATTTCTGTCATGCATTTCGACCGTGGTGTATAGAGCGCCGAAGCTGTGGCTGCGAATACTGTAATAATTTAATAGAACAAGTACCTGAGTATACCGTTTGTTAAACATCAGGGAGATGTATGAAACTTACTGGTAGGCTATATTACTTCAACATTATCAGATATTAACAATTCTTTTTCGTAGTATTTTATTATTATTATTATTATTATTAGAGTTCATTGCAGTATCAAATGGTGTTATCTTTCTTTTTACAGAAACAACGCAAATGTTCAAGTCGATTGGTTTGGAGACACGTTTCTTTTTATTGTTTCCATGCGATATATATTTGTATCATGTGCTTCAATAAAATTTAGATTTATAACATAAGTAGGCTTATAGTTAATTTAGCAAATTAGTTTGTCATATTTTTTTTTTTTGTTGCATCTCCATTTACATTACCAAATATTCTATTTATAACAATACATATATAAAGTAAATTATACTGAATGATGTGATAATGAAAATAAAGCAAATATATTATTGTATTCAGAGACCGACAAAATCACTCATTGCAATAGAAATTAACTAAAGAAATTATTAACTACTGTATAATTTGATTGATGTATTATTATTATTATTAAAGATTTCATTGCAGTATCAAATGGTGTTATCTTTTTTTACAGAAACAATGCAAATGTTCAAGTCGATTGGTTTGGAGACACGTTTCTTTTTATTGTTTCCATGCGATATATATTTGTATCATGTGCTTCAATAAAATTTAGATTTATAAAATAAGTTATAGGCTTATAGTTATTTTGGCAAATTAGTTTGTCATATTTTTTTTTTGTTGCTTCTCCATTTACAATACCAAATATTCTATTTATAACAATACATATATAAAGTAAATTATACTGAGTGATGTGATAATGAAAATAAAGCAAATATATTATTGTATTCAGAGACCGACAAAATCACTCATTGCAATAGAAATTAACTAAAGAAATTATTAACTACTGTATAATTTGAGGAAAGAAACGTTTTCAACAATTATGTTGAGGTGAAGCTGACACACATGGTTTGTATCCTCTTTGTTTTATTTCCATGGTCGATACATATTTTGATATAGGCATGTTTATAAAATACACAAATAAATAAATAATAATTATTATTCAGCATAAAAGAACAATTTAGCCAGGATGCGAGAATAGGGGAAAGCCCAAACAATCAATGCACTCCTCCATAGAACACAAAATAAAAATAACAAATTGAAACTTAGATACTAAAAATTTAAATTGAAACTCGTCACTGCGGACGAGTTAGGTGATCCGCCGCACTTTGACCCCCAGGAAGTGCGGCGGTGTGGATTGAACAGTTTTTTAATGCTGAAAAATTCAGTTTTTTAAAAAAGAATTAGGAGGACGTTAAAAGATTTACTCATGTGTACGTGCACGTCATGACGCACGTGCGCATGATAATGTCACAAAATTTTGACTCCTGATATGAGATATATGTATCTCTCATTGAGAAACGCCTTCTTATCATTTATAATATTTATCATATAAAAATTCAGTTTTTTGAATTCAGATGTCAATATGATGACATCACAATGTCCGATCAGCCATAATGATCTATAAAATCATATCTACAACTCGTGTGCTTTCAGAATATGTAATAAAAATTTTGGGTCACCTTTCATCCTAAGGAGCTATAACTGATTAAAAATATATATATGGTTTTTAGCATATATAAATTTTGATGCACGCGTACGTGCAAGCTAAAAAGCGCGAACGGAAAATTAAGGTACATGACTTTCAACCTGAAGATTATGCTCACTTAATATGATTCAGAAATGACGAATGGTTAAGATGATATGGGCTCATCAACATTTTGAGGAAAGAAAGATGTGGGGGTCAGAACAAACAATTATTTTGACCATGACGTCATCAAAAAGTAAAAAGAAAATTGTCTCAGCTATAACATACTGAAAGTTGGAAGACCATCGACCAAGGATAAGCAAGATAAGCTCAAATGCGCATTTTCAAAAATGACGTCATCGATAAATATTCAGTTTGTTGAATTCAGATAAAATAGGCCTTACTTTAGCATATTTTCACTGTATATCGGCACAAATCCCCGCAAAGATCCCTATGTTTGATGCGCACGTACCTCATTGCTATTGGCCATAAGATGACCGAAAAGAATGGAAATTTGTGAAAACAATGTCAGGAACCCAAACTATGTGAAAAAACGTAATGTCTAGCTTCTATACGTGCTGCGCAAGTAAAAATGCGAGCGCGTATTTCAAAAAAGTTTGAAATGCTCAAAATGGCCTGAAACATGCTCTAATTTAGTAAAAAAATGATGTTGAGCATTTTGAAATTTTGATGTACGCTTACGCGCGCGTTATGGAGCGCACGCGTAAAATTAGGGTACATTACATTCAACATTACCCCAAAGCTAATGCTCACTTAATGCGATTTTGAAATGGCAATTAGTTAGGCTATATGATCGATAATCTAAAAACGCAAAATTGCGCGTAGCTGACGTCATGTGTGACTATGTTACCTTGAAAGCCTTACTGTAACTATCCCAGGCGAAGGGCAAAATGATCGATGAACTTAGAAACTGATCAAACAATAAACAATCAATTGATCAGTCAATCACTCAATCAGTCATATGATAATACGAAGCCAAGGTGAACAGGGCTCGGGGAATGAAAGCCAAAATATCCTATTTAGTGTAGTTGGTGAGTAGTGAGTTTATGTGTTAACCACTTCGACTGACACTACCAATTTTACAATTGAGCATAAAAATCGGTCGGAAGGCTAAAGTGAATTTTTGATTTAAGACTTAGGGCCACACCCAAACTTTGATGTTTCTCAGTTGGCTTCCAAAAACCTCCAAGCAATGCTTTTACATCACTTTATTCTCAGTTTTAATGTTACTGTTTACGTATGATCGGTGTTGGGCCATAAAAAACGTGTTTTCTAGCCAATGTGGCTTGGTGGGTTGCATGCATAGGGGTTTTCATTCATTTTCGTGGGCTGCAAATAAATTGCTGACAGGCCGCACTTTGCCCACCTGTGTAATAGAGGGTCAGAATGGCTAAAAAACAGTGCAAACATACAATATACTTGTTCTCATTTTTGCCTTAGTCATACCACTGGCAAAAGAAAGTTTCCTGCAATGTTTAAAAATGTTCAATTCTATGGTCGAAAGGCAAGCTACCGGTACAAAAAAGATTCAATTAATATAAAGACAACAAAATGATACCTACCTGGCATGATGCTGCTACCAGGCTCATTCTCAGGGAGGATAATTTCACCGATTCCACAACGGGGTCCTGATCCTAGAAAGCGTATATCATTTGCAATTTTCATTAGACTACATGCAACTACATTGAGGGCACCATGCACTTCAACCAAGGCATCATGACTTGCAAGTGCTTCAAATTTGTTTGGTGCAGTAACAAAAGGTAATCCTACAAGATGAAAAAATAAATAAAATGAAATATTCTGTTCACTAATACTGAAACAACATTATATAGAAACTGGTTAAAGTACTATCTGGAATCTACATAAAATTATAATTATAATTTTAGGAAGTTGGTATTCAAACTTCTGATATGATGACCTAGTATTTGAGCTTGGTTGCCATAGCGACCCAAAACTGTTTCACATGCAGTATTCATTTTGAAAATGGAAACTTTCGATTACAAACACAAAATTGTCACTTATCAGACAAAGGGAGATATGACGATTAGCAACCAGGAATTGTTATAAATAATTAACTACTTTTATCATAGTTTATGAAGTACAGTACCAGCACAGTAATGGATTGGGATGCCATACAGCCCCTGCAAAGTGTGCTACCATACCACCAGATTACCAAGTATGGGTGAAGAATTTGAAGAAGCTATTAGTCCACGTCTCAAGCACAGTCGGTGCAGGGGTGATAATAAAGATTTTGATAACGATTTCATTGATAATATTCGACTAGATCTCCTAACATTCAAATCATCAACGCCCGATAAAGATCACCTAGCTGCTCATTAAAATGATGAAATAAGTTTTAATGAAGCTAAAGAAGCTGTAGCATGTGCCAAGAATAAAAAAGCTGCAGGGGCTGATGGTTTGATTGCCGAAGTAATTAAAAATGATACATCTATATAAATTTTATATGTTCTCTTTTTAGTAAATGTTTTGGAATTGGTTTAAAGCCCAACGCAATGGAAAATGGGATTAATCAATCCAATTCCGAAAGCAGGTAATAATGATCCACGAAATCCAGTGGGATATAGAGGTATCGCATTATTATCTGTAATATGTAAAGTGTACGGTGAAATATTAAGACAACGTTTAGGAACAAAATGGGTTTAGACAAAAACGTGGATGCCTACACCATGTATATTCATTAACATCAATAATTGAAAACAGAAAAATATTTAAAAAAAACAACCTTTGTGTGCTTTATAGATGTGCACAAAGCATTTGATCATATTGACAGGGATTGTCTTTGGTATAAATTGAGGTTTTTGGGTGTTCATGGTCACATGTATTATGCAATACATATTGGTTTTCAATAAATAATGGTGTAACTACTGTCACCTACTCTGTTCAATATTTACATAAATGCTGAACATAAATAAACAACAACATTTGTAACACATGTTGGTCTAAGAAGACCTAAGAGACTAAAATTTGGTGTATGTTCAGCAGCAGAAATCTTCAAAAATGTGATTGAGCAAGTCCTAAAAGGCATATCAGAAGCACGCAACATCAGTGCCAACATCATAGTGTTTGGTGACACACAAAAAAAACACAACTAAAGCTTACATTATGTACTACAGAGACTAAAGGGCAACAAAAGATGCAGGGATGGTTTAAAGCATGCCATCATACTGTCCATGATTTGTACCCAACTTTGCTACTGTAACACAGCCATTAAGAGAGCTGACAAAAAAGGATACAGTGAGGAAAAAGATACAGAGTGGAAGTGGTTTACATACAAAGAAAGCAAACATGACGATTGGGGATGTTGTACTGGTAACGCTAAAAAGAAAAAGCTGACAACTCCCTGTGACAATCGACAGTACACAATAATCAAAACTAAAGGATCCATGATAACAGCAAGAAGAGGTGATGGTAAAATGATAACAAGGATTTTAAAGTATTGCTTAAAGGTTTGCATGGCGAAGAAATAATATATATGTTGAAGCTTGCGGTACACCACGTAAGTACAGTAGTTCTGAAAAGAACTGTTGTTGTTGAGAAAGTCTCAACAACAACAATTTTAAACAAGCCAGAGCACAACTCAAACCATAATACACATAACAATGAAGAAGACGATTACTTAGATACATTTGACTACAAGACTACAACAACCCACTAAATCATGCACATCTTCAAGTGAACCGAGGAACATGTTATCATATTCGAGAGAATAGGCGTAAACTAATATTAATAATATATTCTTTCACTTACAGAGAAAACAGCAATGAAGTGGGGTAGAATAAACCACTAGCATTGCTGTAAAAGGCAAGGTAGTCAACCCTTAGCATTTGTTCAGACAAGGAAATGAAAACCAAGTTCACTTCGACGTTATTAGTGAAACTTGAACTATAGCTGCAATGGTAATAGCGAGGTACAGTACATTGTGACTCATAACCATTTCGCACCACATGAGCCGACCTTGAATAGCAAAGTGAATTTTGAATGAAAGCAAAAATTGTTCATGCATATCACGGTAGTTTTGAGTTTAACCTAGCTGTAACTGGTTTAAGCGCTTTAGAAAACGCAAATTGCGTTTACAAAATTTAATCAACTGTCAACAAAAAATCTTAAAATTTTTATCCATCTATAAAAGGGACATAAGCAATTTAAATGACCCTCAAGTTTACACCCAAATCTGGATCATCCCCTACACAAAATAATATCATCCTTGTAACTTGGGTTAAACTTTCCAGAAAGTTTCATTCGGATCAGTTGACCCATTTTTGAAATATCTGGTCTGGGACGTTTTCGTTTAAATGTTCCTCATATTCACACCCTACGCCGGGTCATCACAAAAATTCAGTCATTTGTTTACTGGACCTTTACAAACTATTATACAAAATTACAATTACACCCATTGAAAGCGATTTATAGATATTTACATCTGGGATCTCAAAAACTTAAATGACCCTCCAGTTCACACCCTTGACTGATTCGTCACTAACACATACTATCTTCCTTACAATGTCCGAATGTTTCATTCAGATCAGTTGATCCGTTTTCGAAATATGTGGTCTGGGACGTTTTCCTTTTAATGGTACTCAGATCTACACCCTACTCTGGATCATCACAAAAATTTAATCATTTCTTTACTTGACCTTTACAAACTGTTATACAAGGTTTAAATTGATTTTTTTTAAATAGATATTTAGGTCTGGATCCTCAAAAATTGAAATGACCCTCACATTTGCACCTCTGGCTGATTCATCTCCAGCACATAATTTCTTCCTTGTAACTTGGTTGAACTTTTAATGTTTCATTCAGATCGTTTGATCCGTTTTCGAAATATGTAGTCTGGGACGTTTTCCTTTCAATGGTCCTCAGATCCACACCATACTACAGATCGTCACAAAAATTTAATAATTTTTTTACAAGACCTTTACAAAGTATTATAAAATGTTTCATTTAGACCCATTGGTTTTTTTTAAAGAGATATTTAGGTCTGGGTCCTCAAAAATTGAAAAGACCCTCAAATTTACACCCTTCACTGCATTGTCACTAACACATAAAAATTCAACTGACTGGTATTTGAAATATCCGGTGTAGACTGTTTGACCTTAACTCACTTTAATTGGTCCTCACATGCACACCCCACCATAGATTGACACTAAATATTAGGAGGCACATCCTTGATATATGTCCTATGCTTCGGCAAAACACGGAAAAATTCTAAGCGTGGGAAGTAACCAAAGTGATGGCCATAAAAAAAACAGTGCAAAAAGAAAGGAAAAATATATGCAAGAAAAAAGGGAAAAAAAAAAACCAGAACAAAAACAATAACTTTCCCCAGTACTGCTGGAAAAAGCCAATAATAATTTGTTCAACTCATACAATAACAAAATAGGCATAAATGATAATCTTATCTAATTTAATTAGTAGTGCATATTGAAATTCATATGTATAAACATCTAATTTAATTAGTAGTGCATATTGAAATTCATATGTATAAACATCTAATTTAATTAGTAGTGCATATTGAAATTCATATGTACAGTATAAACAAAATCAATCGAAAATGAATGAGGGATGTATTATTCAATGATACTTGATAAGGATGTAATAGCGCCAACTATTGAATAAAGAAAGACGGTTAGCAACTCAGGATGGTAGTCAGTGTACTTCATTATAATTGCTATAAACCAATCACCTGGGGAATACATAAACCTTCAGTGCCACCACCCCTCTTCGCTTTGGTACTCCTAGGGGCTTTGAGGATTATGTATCCAGGATTCCAGATCCAGATATTTAGATATAAATCCTTCAAATTACTACATTCTCTAATGTACTGGGGCTGAACTAATTGCAAAGTTATATCTAAACTTGTCAACATAATCCCTCCTCTGACGTCTTTAGAAGAAAATAAGTTAAAGAAAATAGGTATAAAAAAAGTCCTGTCTTATTCGTAGTAAACAATAGTCCAAGGCACATGGTTCTAATGTGAATTATTGTTATGTTTGCAGACAATCAGACATTGATTGCTTGAAATTTGTTGCACATTTTAAAGAGAAACTAGATTTGAACTCGTCACTAAAGACGAGTTTGGTGATCCGCCGTACTTTGACCCTTATAAAGCGTGCGTGGTGCTGATTGATAGTTTCATAATATGCTAAAATATTCTGTACAACTAGTGTTTTAAAAAACAATAATTTTCAGCATTTTAAAAGATTTACGCATGCGTACACGTACGGCTTGACGCCCGTGAGCACGGTAATGGCACAAAGAGTGACTCCTGATATGAATACAGTGTCAGGAACACAAAATATGTAATAAAACGTGATTTTCAGCTTCAGTACGTTCTGTGTGCGTGGAAATGAACGTATGGCGCGTAAATATGGAAAGTTTTGGAATGCAGAAAATGACCCGAAACGTTTAAACTATCTGAATAGTGATATTGAGAATTTTTTAAAATTGTACAGTAATGGCACACAAAATTAAATATTGTTGTGTTTTTAAAACCGTCTGTTAGTTATTAATGCCACAGGAATTTTCCCTTCGTATACCCTATACTGCATATATAAGTCTGATAGCGTCGAAATACAGTCTGCCGCCCTCTTGTGTTCTATTTTTTGCATCTTTAAAGAATGAGAGATAAGAATGCTCTAACAATTCATTCTTTTTGACCATGCTGACGTGATCAAAATGAAAAATAAAGGGACACGTCCGAAAGAGAATTGATTTAGCTATAACATACTCACAGGTGGGAGACAATCAATCAAGATAAGCGAGTACGTTCAAACGAGTATAAAAAGTAATAACGTCATAAATAAAAATTCAGTTTTTTCTTAATTCAAATGGCAATATGATGACGTCACAATGTCCGATCAGCCAATATGATCTATAAAATTGTATCTTCAACTCATGTGCTTTCAGAATATGTAATAAAAATTGGGGGTCACCTTTCATCCTAAGGAGCTATAAC